AAGAATCGACTTTGCAGGAGCAGGAGACCTCCTGGGAGCCATTCAATGATATGGCACTTCCTGGTAGGCAAGGATGGAGTAATTTCCTTCTCTGCCACCATGAAATCATCCTTCAAGTGACTGCACACAGTGGCAGAGGAGGTATATTCAATCAGGGAGCCGCACTAGTGCTCACAAATGCTGGACTGGAAAGCCCAGCCCTGCAATCCAGCTGAGCCTCCCCAGCTCACCACTGTGCTCCACCTGTTTCAGCACAGACGTGCTTCTGCTGGACTTGCAGAGCTTTATTTGGAGGCAAGGGGGGAAAGAACTTTTGTGGTTACCAAAACAGGATTCAAACCAAAAGGATCCAAACCAAAAGCCAACTCACATTGCAAAGTTTGTCACTCACTGCTCCCAAGCCATCCAACGGCCCTGACTGAGGCTCTTCTGAGTACCTCTGACTGACAACAGATTTTACACATTTCTGAAGCCCCAAGTTCTGGCCTTACAGCCCCCAGTGCCACCCCAGCAGCATCAGCCCCACAGTAGCAGGCACTAAGCCAGCAGATCAGCTATCACCAATCCCACCCCACACCGGGCGCCTCCTTAGTCTGGGTGAGGCCCCATTTTCTGGAACTAAGGCAAAGATGGAATTTGCTTCATCTGCAAGCTATAAATCCCTTCTATCTTCCTGAGCCCAGCATAGACGGGAACAGCTGTGTGGCAGTGTTTCCCTAAGGCTCCAGCTCTATTGAAGATGCTGAAATACCAATTTAAGTCTAAAAGCTGGAGAGCAAGAGAGAAGTAAGTGGCAGGAAAAGGAGGAAGGGCAACCACAGAAAGGTTTGAATTGGAAAGACCTTGAAAAATAATACATTCCAAAACCCCTGCCATCAGCTGGGATATCTTTCACTAAATCAGGCTGCTCCAAGCCCTGTCCAACCTGACCCTGAGCACTTAAATGATGGGGCATCCACTGCTTTTAAATGAAACAGAATTAATAACAATTCCTCAGAAAAAAGATCTGAGTTTCTTAAAGAGATTTTTGGTGTAGGACAAAACCCATTGTGCACATTGCTGGACAGGGTCTGCTGAGGAAAAGAGGGAGGGGGCAGGCAACACCAAAGACATGAGCAAGGAGAAAGAAGCCAAATACATAAGAAGCAGACTGTCAGAACCCAAGGCTGGTTGATGCCTCATCCATCTCAGGACTCATCTTCTCCCAGCATGAAGAGAAGATGCTCTCAAACTTCAGCCACATCTAGCTCCATCCAAGGACCATCCCTGACCCCAGTTAAACTCTTAGAGCTACTGCTCAGATGTCTGGACATTTAATTTTGATTTGCAGCCTAATTCCTCAGCAGCTACACTTCCTGCCAATTCACAATCGTTCGCCTTGTAGATAAACATCTTCCCCAAGCTTGAACAGCTCTCCTCTCCTCTCTCTGTGGGGTAAATACAGAGCTCTGGAAGATGATGAGCACCAGCACTTCCCAGGAACTGCGGTGCTCACACCTCCCAGGATCAGGCAAGGTTAATCCCCTGCAAAGCATCACACTGGGGAGTGGCAGCACTAAATCCTCCAGAAACACAGCCCAGACCACAGCAGGTGTTGGAAGGACTTACACAAACAGACTGTGCCTGCCTCTTGGGCTGCCTGCATGGCAGAGACCTGTGCAGAATGCTAAGCAGGGCTCGGGTCTTATTGATGATGATTACCATTATGATCATTACTTCTACCACTACTGCAGTCATACCCAGGGGCCCCCAGGCAGATCCCTGCAAGAACAAGACATGGTCTCTGCTTTGATGAGTGGATAAATCTGGTGTGAAACAAGCTGCAGCAACTCAGCATGGCAAACAGCACGGAGGGGGGCTGGCAGCACCAGGAAAATTGCTACTTCAGTGGTCTGAACACATGCCTTGAGTGCTTCAAATCACAGTAAAATGTGCCTGTTTATAAACTACTGGCTGTTGCCATTTCACTGTGTTTCAGTCATGTAACTATTTCTAACTTCTGTTAAAGTTTCATTAAGCAGCTTTTAATCACCACATTCTGGCTGAGTTTTGTGCAGGTATCAGGAAATAAAAAATAAAATTGAAGTCAAGGTGACACTAAGGAAATGCTTTGGTAGGAGATGGGAGGGAGAGGGGGGTACACACAGCACCTGCTCCACAGTGTGCCACTCCAGTGTCTTTCCCTTCTGCTTGCAATACGATCAAGAAATAAAACCACAAAAGTGATCAGCTGGACAGACCCTCTATGTACAAGCAGCACACCTACAAAATAATAATAAGAACCACAAGGCCAGAGGATGCACATTCCTAAATGTTAACAGCAACAAGCTGAAGAAATTACTACGAATGGAATTTGCCAGACTCCCAGAGAGATTCCAGATACTACAAAGGCTGCAGGGAGCCAATTCCAGTGACACTGCTGAGGCAGCCAAGGCTGTGATGAGCACAGACACTTCCTGACCAACAGCCTCAGGACAACCCTTCCCCAGGGCTGTGCTGTTGCTCCCACTCATCTCCAGCAGAAGGATGCATGGGAAGCCCATGTGCCTCCAGTTAAGCAGCTTTGGATGGGTAGGAGGGATGAAAACACACCAGGTTCAAGGGGATGCTGTCACTCCCCTACCTACAGACTCACAGCTAACCAGGTGGGAAAGACCTGTGTCCAATAACAAAGCACAAATTGAGGCAAAATGGCAGTCAGTGCCCCTGTAAGCAGGGAACCAGTGGGGCATGGAGCCATCTCCCAGGCTGAATTATTGCTGCAGAAATCAGGGAGGTCATTGCAAAAACAATTCGGGAGCCGGGAAGAGAGAAGGGAGCCATAGCAAGTGAATGACGCACATTGGGCTAACTATTTCTCACCTGCCAGATCCCAGAAGCCTCATGTTCTCAGGGTTATATATGGAGGTAATGGCTTTGCATGGGCTGCTGACAGCAAGCAGCAGCATGTCACCTTCTGGAAGTGGATTAGCTAAAGCTCCAGGCATGTTGTCACATCACTAAGCCTACCTCTGACCAAGTCTTGGCCAACCCTTAGCTCTTCCAGGCCTGTCAGATAATGATGAGATCTCTAAAAGCCCAGTGTCAGACAAGAAAAGGGACTGGCACTGACAAAGTCCTCTGGGAGTTCCTGAATGTATCCTGGTTTCCAGCAGACCCAGCAATGCCTGACTGATTGCCAGACCAGGAACTCTGGGTTATATCAGAAATGTTTGAGTGCTTTGTCTCCCCTTCTCAGCCTGCAGTGCCTGTTCTGCTCCCTGGGAAAACCTCCTTGCACAAATGGCAAGAAACACAGGACTTTTTTAGAAGGGGATAATGTTCCTGAGACACATAAAATTAGACCTACAATCACTAAAGCATTGACAATTAAGACATACTGACCTTTTTCACATAAAAAAATCCTGACTGATCAGGAACAGATTTCCTAGGAAGAAAAGGGCCATATTCCATTATTATTTTTAATTGCAAGAGAATTAGAAAAATAAGAATTTCCACTTGACTTGAAGATGACATTTTCTTTGCATTTCAGAAATGGATTCTTTTTTGCTTTTTAAATTCCAAATGTCTTTCTCTCCCTATTTCTCGCTAAGTTTTATTACGGAAGGCAGCAGAACAGGTGCATATGACTTCGCTTCTCCCCCTCCAACACATTTTCTTTTTTTGTTCTGAATTCTCCGAAGTTAGAGCGGCAGACAAAAAATACCCAAAACACTCATGAGGCTTTTCCAACTTTCCTATAAAATGTCCTTAACTTTAGAAAATCACTCAAGTGTAGGATTTAATATGCTGCTTTGTTTTTCTTTCTCTTTTCCATTACTCTGTAGTGTTCCTGAAAATGTACACGCTTCCAAAAGATAGAGCAGAAAGAGGAAAAAATATACAGGTGATATTTATCTTATTGTACTCAACATAAAAGAGGGAAAAGTGGTGAAGGAACAATGTAGAGCTTCCCAAAACAAATACAAAAGCTGGTTTGGGCATTTTCTTGAATACAGCTGAGCTTTTCTTTGGAGAAAGGTTGGAGAGGAGGAGGGGAAGAACTTCCCCCCATTTCTACCTACAGTAAATCACAGGAATAGAAATGTCATGCTCTGCCAAAACAACTCTCTCCTAAAATCCTTGGCCTTCACTTGTTTCGGCTGCAGTTCCTTCACAAACTCTCCATTGTCAGCCAGGGGCATCCCAGGTGTTCCAACTTGCAGGTTTCCAGTTGCAAGTTCCAGAGGGGCTCCCAGCCATGCACTACTGCTCCTTGGGAACGCCCTCCCTCCATGCGTCCACAAGCCAGGAACCCAAATCCCACCCTTGCTGCTCAACCACATCAGAAGAAGAGGACTTTCACAGCAAAAAGTAGAGGAAGGCTGACACACAGTGACTGGTAGGCATTTCTTCTGCTGACATAACAGAACAAGCTCCCGAGAGCATCACAATGGTCACCCAAATACCTTCCCAATTATTTCATATTCATTCTTTCCCACACTAGAGGGAAAGAACTCAATTGAACTAAAACAATCCATCCAGCAGACTGAAGAGAAAACACTTCCAGACTCACTGGCCAAATTCATGCACTACCACCCCCAAAACTTATATTGCACAGATCAACCCTTTGTTTGTAAGGTATTCCCACTGTGCTAGGGTGAAAGAACCAATACTGAAAAGGGTTCTTTGAGCCCAAGCTCCTTGAATCATCATGTGGCAGCAGGGACCAAACAAGCAAAACCCTTTGAAAAGTACTGGTCCTGGACACAGGACATCTGCTTTCAATTAAAACTGAGAAAGATCTGTCTTCATGTCCTCTCCCAGCCCTGCACTTCTCAGAAGGGTAGCTAGCCAGAGCAAGGGGAAGAGATACCTTCACATCCTTCTTGATTTGAATGACCTGAAAAAGGGAGGCTCACAAACTCACCAATAAAGAACAAATCAAGAACAGCCTGTGTTAGCAGTCGGTTCCTCTGAATGAGGCAGTTGTGGTTCCTTCCTAGAAAAGAGATACTCACCATCACCACCTGGTTGCTTGTATGGGTTGTACTTCGGTTTGGGGGCGACCACAGGCGCAAACTTCTTTGGGGTCTGCTGGGTGGACACGGAGATGCTGGGAGTCCCAAAGGTGTGTGTGGTCTCCATCCTTGCAGTAACGTGGCCAACAGGCTCGTTGGTACTCTTGGGTGGCAGCCAGGATGGGTGGGACATGGTTCAGGTCTGAGGAGACACAAAGAGAGTCACACATACGTTAGAAATTTACTGGGGAAGTAACAGTTACAATCCTACTATTTTTCTGGTTTATTAAATCAATACTACAAAACCCTTCAAAACATGTTTAACTGGCGCATGCTTAACTTTAAATATGTTGTTCCTAATACATAGGACTTCAGATGCAAATTTGTCTTTCCCCAGCAGGTCAGAATTACTGATCAGGTTATTGTCGGTACCTGCAAAAATCATTGCTATTTTCCTCTTCAGACCAGAGCAGAGACAGGCTGATACTCTGAAGCAGCCCATCAATCCCACCCTGCATTCAGCACAGTAGCGATGTATTTGCCTTTCCCCGTTAGGCCTTTTTGAGTACATTAATGTACAACAGTGCAGGTGCTCTGGGGAAAAGTCTAGTCACAGATAGGCACACACACTTCCAAAATACACTTTTAGCACTTTTTCACATGTTATTTAGGACCCCATGCCCCAGTGATTTTCATTCAGACTTTTAAGAAAACAGTTTTCAAAAGTAGCTAATCATTCTTGATGCCTCCATTTCTGAATGCCCAGCTTAAGACATTTTAAAAGCATGTCAATTTTGAAAAAATGCCAGAATCTCACATCCCCTGACAACCAGACTCCTTTTAGACTTGTCTAACAAAAAACAGAGGCAGCCCAAATCATTACTTATTTATGAAAATCTTGGCTTTGGCCTCTTAAAAGCCTACATCACTTTTGAGAACTGGGTTCAGATGCTGTTGAAAATGTTGCCCATAAAAATCCTGTTAATTCCAATGAACAAGTGCTTTTTACCACACACAAACCACACTTGCTGGGTAGCCACGATAGTCCTACTGTACCATCAGATGGTCCTGTGGAGCTGGATTTGAGATTTGATGGAGAAATGAAGATCCCACACAGATAAAAGTCAATGGTAATTTTGCAGCTCTTGAGCACCCTGCTGCTTCTGTCCATGCACTGCTTTGGTGTCAGAACCCCTTAAGGCTACCAAAACCAACAGGCACCTGTGACCCAATCAGCAAAGATATGATTTCATCATGGAAAAGGATCAGTGCCAGAGATAGGATCAAGGTCTCCACATGGTAGCTCAAGGTGAGCACCTCCAGCTAAGAGCAATGACTGCTAAAACTGATGGATATACAAGTGTGCTTACTCCAACCAGTAAATTTACTTCAAAAAACAGTTTCTTGCTTGAGGAGTAATTTCTACTTTAAGCCCCAATGTCTGACCCAACACTAGGAGGTGACAATTTTTGGTCATCTTCCACCACTCCTTGCGTAAGAGACAAACTGGCAAGTGTCAAACATCAGTCCCAACACTTCTGTCTCTTCCTGGCCATGCAGTCTGACTGCTCGATGTGCAGACAGTGGTTTCACAATTCCTACCACTAGTAAGTGAACCTGCTGCACTAGGCATCCAATACCAGTGAAAGGAAAACACTGGAGCTGCCTAGAAATGAGGCAGACAGAAGCACGGCAGGAGCAGCCTGGAGATGTTTCCCAGGCTGAGCTGCAAGGACATGACTTTTCTCCCTCACAGGCCTGCTGTCCAACCCACAGAAAGAGTGCAGAGCATCACTGTGAAAGCAAGAAGTGAAAGGCAGGTCCTCCCCACATGGCAGGAGAGGAAACCAGTCACAACCGGTGGGGGCTGAGGGCACAAGAACCACGGTCCCACCGCCTGGTACTTCCCATCACCAACAGCAGCCCCTATGGAGCTGGAAAATGACTGCCACTCCAGCAGTGAGATTCACCTACACTGCTGTCTCCTCCTCCTACAAGCTTCAAAACCATAAAAGCAGCAATAAAACTCAGGCAAACATCTAGGTCTTAAGAGCAGAAAGCAATGAGGGCAGCCAGCCTTAAGAGCTGAACAGGATGAGCCTGCACTCTGCAGAGTTATTACATCCAAAGATGACTGTACCTTACCCATTGCTAAAAGCATCCTGGAGTTTAATTCTGACAGGTTTTCAGCCTCTGGCTTGACATCTCATATGAAAGAGCCTCCTGCTACAAAGAAGCACCCTCAGACCCTGAACATTATCTCCATGCTGATTCAAAGCCACAGAAAAAAATCCCATTACTGACTAGATTATCGCCATTCCTGTTCTGGAATTTTTCTTAACCACCCCCAGGCAGCATGCCTTGGTCCCACAACTCTCATGGTCTGCTAGGCTGATGACAGGGATGGGTTGTGTGATGCACAAACCAAGAATATCTGCTTCAGTAGCCAGGTTGCACAGCTCTGAGCACGGCTGAAGACAATGAGAGAATTTCAACAAACGAGCTTAGAAAGCAGGCTGCTCCTATGGACAGCTTGGGAGCAGGGAGACCACAGTGCTGTAACTCAGCTGCTGACTGTAAGCTGGCACACAGCTCCCTCTCAGCTAACCTCTAACGCCTTTGTTTTGGCCATGGTGGTATTTTCTAATTGTTTCCCTGTTAGCCTTTTCTCTTCCTCTTTCTCCCCATCTCATTTTCTGTTATGCATTTACTGCCACTCGTTTTTGCTATCTGTGCCCTGACAGTGTTTTCAGCAAGTTCCCTTTTCCTCATCTGTTCCAGCCCCAGCTCCCGAGCTTCAATTAAATTTAGCCTAACTACTCTGCAAGATCACAGAAAAAGAAAATTAATTAATTTCTTTTTAAAAGCTGAAGCCAAACTTCTGGGCTTGCTATTATTTCCCCTCTGTTTTGGCTGGTAAAAGGCCAAAAAAGCAAGGAAAAATGTAAGGCACAATGGCTTACAGACAAGCATAGCTCGCCTTTCAGCAGACCTCTCCACAGTGGAGCACCCTGCCTAATTCAGACAAAGCCACCAGTGCTCTCTCTCCACTCCCTGCAATACTGACTGGTTTTCCATCAGAAGCTTCTTTGGAACATTTGTGATGTGCACAAGTAACCAAACAGCACAGGAAAACCTGGGCCTAACTAAATCCCTTACTCTAAACTTACTCTTACCCATGTCACTGCCTGAGTGTCGCTGTGGTGCCTGCACTTGGACAGGAACACCCAATAGGTAACAGCAGTGCTTTTCCAGCTAGCCAGCAAACACACGTTTCACTCTTGAGCTATCTTCTTCCATTAAAAGTCATTTTTCCCTGAAACATTAACCTACAGATTAAATCTACAGCTGCCCCCATATTTCTACTCTAAGCAGGTAATTTCTCAGGCACTGTCTGCATTCAATGAGTCCCTTCCTGGCAAACTTTGGTAGATCCAGCCACGAAACAGTTAACTTAGCAAGGTTGGAAAAACCTCTGTCAGCAGAGACCATGTCCCTGGGAGTCCTCTCAGAGGGATAGCCACCTCTTTCTCCCCTGTCAGTGCCACACCTCCCTCTGTCTTGGCTGAAACCTTCTGCCTGTCTGCCTGCCACCCTCCCGCAGCCATCCTCGGTCAGCCGAAGCTCACAGCTCCGTTCCTGCTCTGACTGCTACAGGCTTTTTCTGTGACCCCTTACTCACTGAACTCTCTGGCAAAACCCCCTTCCCAAATTCACTACCTCATCCCCTCCAGAAAATCCCTTAAATCTTCTCTGTGTCACTGTTTTGAAAGCCTCTCATTGATCATCTTGACTAACCCTGAACCATCCCCAACTACCACCCTGCAAAGCTTCTGCTGAGCTAAAGATGATTTGTTATAAAGCATATGTAGCCTCAACTGAAACAATGCAAGCACTGAAGAATCCAACACAACATTAGGTAAATTGTTTGGACAAAAAATTAAGCACCATAATCACAGCTTCTCCTTTATGCCTGGCTTAAAATTTAGCTAGATCCACTTTCAACCATTGCATTTTGTTATGCTCCTGTCATCTGCATTACAGACTTGCCTCTCTTCCTTATGTAGATCCTTTCAGAATACAGCCAGATCATTGCTTAAATCAAACAAAAACATTTAAATTAAGTATCAATTAAACTCCCTGTAAAGGGCAAACTTCTTTTGATTCTTCCATGTATGTTTACTCTGAACTCTCTTCAATTTTCCAGCTATCTTTTCTGAAATGGTGGCTGATGGCGTAAGACCATTTTTAAGAATAGTAACTTAAAATAGAAGAGGTAAAATGATGAATAATATCAAAAACAAAAACCTGACTGAAATCAGCTGTGGATGCCTGAGGTTCTGTTATCCTTCCTTCCTTGGAAGCATTAGTCATCACCTACTTTTGGAGGCAGAGGATAAGACCAGACTAACCATGATAAATAGCATTAAGAGCGAAGAGTGAAATCACACTGCATAAATAAGGCAAACAGTGTGCTCTGGTTCTATCATCAGGAAGATCTTAATGCTGTAAGTTCAGAAAATTCTAACCATGAAAGAATACGCCACAGCAGAGGAACTGGAATCCACGAATCCCAAGCTGAGACCACATTATCTAAAAATGTCAGACCAGGAATATCAATAGCAGATAATACCATGCAGTAATAACAGCCTGACAAGACTTTTTCACTGCCTTTTTCTTTTTTCAAATGTGTGGGCATAAGAGCTTGTTTTTGCTTTTAATTACAGGATGTCATTCACCTTTGAGAAGAGAAGGTAAAAAACTGAGGGTTTCAAGTCAATTTCTCCTTACATGTGATAAGCAATGGAAGGGTAGGGTACCAATTTGTCTACTTTTGAATTTGTATGTACATTCATCTCTGAGACAGGCTGCCTTTTCTGTGATTAGAGTGTACCCAAATAAATCTCCATTTCATTTTCATATTTGTAACATGGACCAAATTCTCCTTGGATGTTGATGGACTTCGCCAAGACAGAAGATTTTGTCCCTGAGTTAATTAAGCTAATGCTTCGTAGCGGGTAGCAACAGTATTTAGCAAAAAATGAGCAACAACCGTCTGTGCTTACAGACTGTCTGCTCTGTCTTCCATCCCACGCCTTCCTAAATTCACTGGCTTGATTTAGGTCTATGATGTTCTGTCTTAGTATCACCCATGCACAGTGAACCATTATGCCTGAGGTCAAGAGATGACCAGATATAGGG